GGCTCGGCTCTGGCACTGCTGCAGAGACGTATCACCCATTAAAGCAGTTTGAAACTGCAATTGTGTTGATACTTTCAGAGACATTTCAAGCAGAAGGAAAACCTTAAGGATCTCTGTAGCACCAACCGTTCGCTCTTGCGGGTGGTTGAGACTTTATGCCACTGCTATATTATTTAAATGCATTTTCATTAAGTGAACACATCTGGAAAAAAAACCCCTGCAGCCAGGCTACTTAACAAAACTCATGCTGACAAACAGTGCTAGGAAGAATCACACAGCTAAATTGTATATTATCATGCAAATGGCAAAAGAACTGGCACATGGGACTCTGTGCATTGTGCACAGTGATAAAAGAGTGGAGAGTTATAAATTAGAGTTAAAGAAAAGAGTCCTGTCAGTCTGGGCAGTGGAGTGAAAGAGCCTTCTTAGGGCAGTTAAGGAGGTCTGAGAACAATACTTAGTTAACAAGCCCTATGTATTTTAAAGGTCCAGCATCTAACCTTTGTAAAAACATCATTGTGCTCTTGGGCTCAGAAGTAATTATGATCAAGATGATTCGAACCAGCCCCATCACTTGCGGGAAGCGTTGTTACCCGAAAGGGTGCAATCTGTTGGTGACGAAGCTCTTAGCTTACAAAGGATATTTGTATGCTCAAAACGATGTCAACTGCACTTACTTTATCTGATGCCTGCAAAATGCCCTCTGACCTCCAGTCTACGAAGGCAGACATCTCCCCAGATGCGGCAGAGATTATATTCTTATCTGATAAGCACATACAGTTCAGAGGGAATTCAGCCGCTTTATTCCATACCTCTACATCCTGTGTTTACAAAGAGAGGCGTTTATAACATTGCCCTCCTTACTGTACAGTGTGGCTCCTCAGAAGCTCAATCAAGGCTGCCAAAAGACTTTAAAGACCCAAACCAGTTCTGGCCACGTCCGACCTATTGACAGCCTGTATTCACGCGCACCAGAAGACATAGCCCGCCAGTTCCCTGGAACCCAAACAAGCATTACAATACACACTGATAAGGGCACTGGCGCTGGTTAGATAATGGATCTCCCTTGCTAGATGGGGGTTTTGAACTTTAGTTGCAATTATGTACACATTTCATTTCAGCTTCTATCCCCTCCTCCCACCTAGATCTGGGTAGAAACTAAGCTGAAATGAAGCCCTGAATTATTCTGGCATGAACAGTAAGTCATAGACTTTTCCATTTGTTATTGGTTTCCCAGAAACCAAAATGGAAAAGGAATTAACAGCTGCTGAATATGGCACATGCTCTCAGAGATGCTCTGATTTTATAGCTCATGGTACTACTATAACAGGTTTTTCACCAGTGTGTGAGAAGCAACCAGCAGGGGCAGTCAGTGCTGAAACCTGAACGGACTGAATCAAGTCAGTTTTTAAAAATACACAGTAATTCTCCTGGAAATTTGTGTATGAATTCTTACTCAAATCAGCAGCAACCATTAGACATGCGTGTTACGCATTCTTGATGAGCACAGGGTTTTGGATAAGCTAAGGCACAGGGAGAGAGGCTGCAAAATTAACTCTAAAGAGCAAGTTCTGTATGGAACAACTTAACTCTTTTATACCAAGTAAAGAAAAACACCCAATAAAATAAGGAAAGAGAAGGGAAAGTGTCAGAAGAAAAACATTGCTTTTCATAAAGCCAAAACCTTGAACACAAAAAAGGCAAAACTTTTAACACATTTTTACTGAAATATCCATTTCTTTAGTATGTTACAGAAGAGCTTAAGAACATACGTCATGTACCTAAAATGCAGACTTCTTTTAAAATAAAAAAGTCTTTTTATAAAAAAAATAAGAAAAGTCAAAGTAAAGTGCATGAAACTGATGTTTTCCTCCTCCAGATTAATGCATCAAAACATTTTAATACACTGACAATACTATATAAACCTGGGAATATTTTCTCCTCCATCACCCCATTAGTCAATTATTTACTGTACAGCAGTGGTTACATATAAAAACAGACACACAGAGAAACTAATGATATTTGCCAAATGCTTCTCACTGGTTAAAGTCAAGAGCTACTGGAATAGTGACTTTCTCATCACTTCTTTTTAAAAATACTAACTTTTGTCAAAACTATGTCCACCCTAGCTAGGAAGAGCCACAGGAAAATGTAAGTCCGTAAGTGGGATAGATGCAGATTGTTCCTGGATAGCAAGTACTTTTTCATTTAAAATAAAGGGGATTGTTACAGGGAATCTTGTGCACATACAAATCCCCACTGGAAGGAAAAGATAGCTAGTTCCACCCAACCATGGCAATAGCTTTTGCACAGAGTATTTCAGAGTGAATTCTTAAGGGATGCTCTTATAAGAGCAATTAAGGGGGGGGGCACACTTGAAAGAGAAACCTGGCATGAAATTAATACAGGGAAATATATAGCAATTAAAATATACACTTATTATCATTATGCCATGATGTTACAGGAGGCTCCCAGTGGCCTCTTATCCAAGGGACTAGTTAGGACCACACCCATTTAGTTCCAGCATCACATACTCCCAGGCCACAAACTGAGTCCCTCAAAGTTATTTTGGACCCTAATTACTTTGGACACAAAAAAAAGAAAAACAACACACTGTGCAATGGAAGGATATTACCTGGCCTAGTTTTATAGCAGACAATAGTGCAGGGCAGGTGCATCAGGGCAGCATTATACCTTACACCTAAAAAGGCCATTGTTTTCAGTGCATCCCTCTGACAAAAATCTAAGCCAACGCAGGTCTCTTTTTGAGGACAGGGTGGGAAGCTGGGAGTTCAGCCTGCATAAGGCTGCCTAGTCAGAAATTTCACTTTTGGGGTTGGAATTTAAACTGTGTGCACCAAACAAAGGAAGACCACATTCTGCTGATGGATCCCAGCAGGAAAATGTCTGGGAACCATTAACTAGTCTCTACGCCCTCCCCCCTAAAAAAAAAATGCTCTCAATTATTAAGTTCATTTTTCGGCAGGCTGGTCAGATATTTCAAGGCAAGGTTTCCAGAAGTGCTCTAGACCAGAAGCTGCGTTCCAGCCACCTACAACCGCGGCCCCTGCGTTCACCTCCTTTAGGGACACTGCGCTACCGGGCACACCACCAGTGCCTTCATTACGCCCATGGAAATGTTAAATCCACCCAGGTCCAGAGGGGTCACAGCGAGGCGGCCTTGGCTTTGCAGTGCAAAATGTGCTTGTGGACAAAGTCGACACGGTCCTGCAGCAGCTGCGCTTGCTGCTCTGAGAGGAAGCCCAAGACGCCGGCCAGGGGCTCCCGGGTCCGGTAAAGGTGGAGCAGCTGGGCGGCAGCGTTGCGCGCGCGGTGCAGCTCCCGCACCCGCTGGGCGGTGGCCTCTCGGAAGACGCAGACGGAGCGCAGCAGCGGCTCGTTGTACTTGTCCCACATGGCCAGCAGCCGGTAGCCGTGCACCAGCCCGGCCTCGTTGTCGAGGAAGACCAGCCCGCCGTTGGGCGCCCGGTGCAGGTTGCTAGTGGCGCGCTGCATCACCCGCGGGTCCCACTGTAGGCTGAACAGGTTGCTGACCAGCCGGTCGAAGTTGGCCGTCACGTAGTCGAAGACGATCAGGTCGCTCCACTGCACCAGCTCCACCAGCTGCGCTTGGCTCAGGCCGCGCAGCTCCCCGGCCGACAGGGGCTGCAGCCGACGGGGGCCCGACGTCGCCGCCGCGCCCGCCTCGGCCCGCCAGGGGGCGGGAGCCACCACGTCGGTCAGGTTGTCCACCCAGCGCGCCAGGCTCACCACGGCGCCGTCGGCCCAGGGGGAGCCGCGCAGCTCGTCGCGCACGGGAGCCCACTGCCCTCCGCGGGCTTCGACCCTCGCCAGCGCCAAGGGGGGCAGGCGCTCCTGGATGCCCAGCAGCCCGGCCAGGTGGTACGAGAGCGCCTCGCCCTGGATCTGCTCCGCGTTGATGCCGTAGCGAACGCACGCGCGGCTGCCGTCCGACAAGCGCGCTAGCCGGTTGGAGCTGCGCCCGCAGCCGCCGCGCTCCAGGGACACGACGCGCGCCTCGCGGGCCGCCCGCAGCCACGACGCCGCCTCCTCGGCCGAGAAGCCCGGCGGCACTTGCGCCTCCAGCGCCCGGCTCCAAAAGATCCCGCCGCGCACGGGCGGCTCCGCGACGCCCCGAGGGGGATCCGCGGGAACAGGCGGCGGCGGCGGCTCCTGCCCACTTTCGCCCGGCCCCTCCAAGGGTTGTCCCGGCAGCGTAAGCAGCGCGCGGAAAGTTTTCTGCGCCGCTTGGCTGGGCGGCCGGAGGAGGCGGCCGCTCGATGTCGCTTCGACGCCGGGCTCCGGGGCGCCGCGCCCGCTCCACAGCCCCGCCAGCGCCACCACGGCCAGCAGCCACAGCCCGGCCACCAAGCCCAGCCCGGCCAGACCCGCGCGTCGCATTCTCCTCCTCCGCCTCGTCCCGCTCTCGCCTCCGCCGCCGCCGCCGCTGCCTCAGTCTGCTGCGCTGGGACCCGGCGGCCGGGCGGCCCCGCGGCTCTCCCGACGCCCGCGGCTGCTGCCTCCGCCTCCGCTCATGGCGCGGCGCTGCTCCAAGAAGTCCGCCGGAGGGAAGCAGCCGCCCGGCACGGAGAGGGAGAGAGCGCGCTCTTCTCGGGGCGGCGGGACCGGCGTCTGCAGCGAGACCCTCCAGCTAGGGCAATTCACAAGCGCCCAGACCACGTGGGAGAGCGAGGTGGGGGGGGGGAGCGCGCCGACCCAGCCCACCGCCCAGCGTGGCTTTCCGCTTAAAGCGGCGATGGCCCCAGAAAAGCGGGGCCCGCCGTCGGGGAGTGGCTGCCCGTGGGGGGCTCCTGCGAGGAGAGGGGGCGCCTCCCGAGCCACTCTGACCCAGGGAGTGGGCTTTGTTTCCCCCCGGTTAGCTTCTCAGCCGCGATCGGGGGCATTTCTCCGACGGGGCGGCCTCGGCCACGGGCCCCCTCCTCCCGCGCCTCCCTCCTCCCACCCGGGTTGGGAAGCACAAAGGATTCGGCACGTTTAGAAGAAAAGATGGGAGCCGAGCGCTGGTTTCAAAGAGCCTTCCTTCTGCTGGAGTGGGAGGGGCAGAGGAGCGTGGGACGGAGCAGGAAAACCAGGCTGGCGAGAGGGGTGGGCTGCTTCCCGGCAACAGCGACACAAACGTAGGGACATTTGATCCTTGCAAGCGGGGAGCGAGGGTCGACGTGCACCTCCCACCTGCCCGCCACGCACAGAAAGGGCTACCCTTCGAAAGAGGGCAGTAGTCACACGTTTAGTCCGCTGGAACCCTACCCCCGCCCCCAGCGGTGTTTGCTCCGGAGTGAATAGTGCACAGGTTATGTGGGGTTCGGATCCTACTAACTGAGCCTTGTAAGATATGCACCAAGAAAGGCAGCATTGGTGAGGAACACAACTGGATCCACATTTCTCGCTGGAAAGGTCCTGTTTCCTCCCGGCTGAACCGACAAGAGGTAAATTCGGTCCCCTCCACTTGGCTTCTTCGGAATGATCGAATAGAACTATAGTGGCATCAGTCCCTTTGTATGTATCAGTAAGGTGCACAAATTACAGGTAACATTGGGTAAATATTTATTAAGCGGGAGCTCTTTGAAATCGACCAAGGATGGTTTGAAGTCTAGGCTGCTATCTGCTGGCGTCAGTGATTCGTTCTGTCATCCTCCCACAGAGAAAAAAAAATGAACAGGGGGGGGGGGACGTGAAATCAGAGACGACAGTCACAACCATCTTTCTTTGCCAGCTCAGTGGCAGTTACACTGTGATCCTCAGATGTGAGCTGCTTTGTTCAGTGGAACTTTTTTTAAAATAAAAATGAGTGTACATTGGGTACCAACATTAAAGTACAATCTGTAATTAGAAAGGATCCAGACGGTTTGATGTAGATTCTGCTTCCACCATGTACACAAGCTTTTTTTCTCTTTTCTTTTGGCTTATGAAGTCATCCCATCTCACCCAAACAAGCTGTCACACATGTGGACCACCAGCTTGGTGTTATTATCCCCTTTGGGAATAATCTGGGGAGTTTTGTACTTACAACAAAGAAGAATGGTCCATCACCAGCTTAGAGAATTGCTATGGAAGGATGGGAAATGGGCCACAGCATCCCAAAGCATCTCTAAAGGAACACTTTATTGACTATTCCAAGAAAGACTGTAGGTGCATTCTAGAACAGAGGGGCTTATTATTTCCCCCCGGCCCCAGTCTTTCTTCGTAATGACTTGTCCTCTGGACGCTCTCTCCTCCTTGAACTTTCTTAATTCTTGTTTCAATATCCTTCTTGAACAGAGGCAACTCCAGCTGAATACATTACCCCAAAATTAAATTTCTCAAAGTCTAAATGTAACAGTCTCAGATCTTTCTCAGATCTTGGGGCCTTCACCAATATCAGTTGGTCAAGCAAAAATGCCATGTGTTGTGCAGGATCAGTATGTGTTATCTGTCTAATAAGCACTTTTCTTTAGAGAATATTGCACACACACCCATCCTCAAACAATATATAATTGCTGGGTGGAGGGGAGGATGCAGTTATTCCCCGTTGGAACAAAGGGACAAGCCATGGCAACATGAAGGATGTCTAGAATATGGTTGGTGGAATGAGTGTCACAGGGAGCCCCATGAGTGATAACACAAGTACTCTTCCATGCCCATTAAAGAGGTTTTATTTGTATTATGTATTTATAGCTCCTCTGTTGAACCAGGGTGCATGCACAGATTGTCTAAATCAATGGTTCTCAACCTGTGGGTCTCCAGCTGTTTTTGGACTACAACTCCCATCATCCCTCGCTAGCAAGACCAGTGGTCAGGGATGAAGGGAATCGTAGTCCGAAAACAGCTGGAGACCCAAGGTTGGAAAACACTGGTCTAAATTAAGGGTGTATGAAGACAACCACAATCACATATCAGTTGGCCAGAAGCATACAAGAATTTAATTAGGAAAATGGGAACGTACTAGGAAGTTGCCTCATTCCAAGTCAGACCCTTGGTCCATTTAGCTCAGCGTTGGCTACTGGCAGTGGCTCTGCAAGGTTTCAGACAAGCCTCTTTAGTCCCTAACTGGAGATGCTACTGCAGATTGAACTCGGGACCTTCTCCATGCAACACAGATCTTTTGCCACTGAGCCACAGCCCTTCCCCATTTAGCTTGCCGTTCTGCTCCCAACTTTCTTCTGGCAAGTTCACAAGGTCATTAAGGCAACACCCCCTTCCTTGCTGTTTGTTGCTGGTATCTGCTATTCAGAGGTATACTGCCTTTGCCTCTGGAGGCACTATTTAGTTATCCTGTCTAATAACCCGGGTGATGCCAGAGCACGCAGCCCACCTCAAGCCTGATCCAATGCTACAATCCATTCTCCAAGGGCTGGATTGAGTCACCAATAAAATGAACAAGCCCTCCAAAGCTCTAGCTGAAACTGCCACCAGCCTTCATGAGTATTCAATAAGTGCACAAACCACCTACATTTTCTTCATTGCGGATGTTGAAATTACATAATTGCTTCTCCCCGTCATGCATTATAATGTATTAATCCACTAGCCCCAATTCATTATTTACACAACTAATAAAAGCGTTCAGTGTTTTAATATAAAATGACAAGTTTTACAAGTAATTATAGACACTGTTATAATCCTGGGATAGCACACCATTACTGCGATTGAGGGCTCCACCGTGTGGCAAAAAACTGAAATGGATGGAATTCATAAGATGTTGCATTTAGCACTGGAGATCGTTCAGAGTGCTGTTGCACTTTATTTCACAAATCCTTACAGCAGAATCATTAGGTTGCTGATCATCCTCATACAGTGAATAAGGGAGTAATACTGAAAAAGCAATGGCTTGCCTCAAGCAAGTTCTTGTCAGAGATGGTATTTCAACCAAGGATGTGGTTCTGTCTTAGGCAATGTACTTCTTTGTGTCTATACTCAGCAGAGAGCTCCATTGCATTCAAGGTATCAACTCCCAGAAAAAATGTGCATAGTATATTGTTGCCTGTCACTATACTGAATTGGTATGTGTAATCTACATACTATGAAAATTAGTGTGTGTGTATGAATAATTCATATTTATTTTATGATAGACATATTTTTAAGGTGGCAGATGTTCTTGTTTTAATATGGTTTCAAGGTATAAAAACAATAATTTCTGACACTTTATGAGGTGTCTATGGTGTAGTATTTATAACAAACATATTAGCAAAACATGCATTGTACTTTTTATATAACCTTTATTTACTGTAAATAATTGCTGTTCTCACTTTAACAGTGAGCTCTGAAGCTATAAATCACTTTGTTTTTTCAAAAATAATAATCAAGTGGTATCTAAATTTTATGAAATAAATAATGTAATTAAATAAGTGAGGTTATTGTTATTCCCATTTTACATATGGGGTACTAATAGCCCAAACTGTGTGACACCATCATATCTATGACAGACGCAGGACTTGCTCCATTACTGAAATCATTACTAGCTTCATTACTGAAATCAAAAGGAAATACACTTCAAATGTCAAAGTTTATTTTAAACTGTCTATCAAATTATAATGCCTTTTTTCAGATGAAGAAATATTAAATTTTATGGTGAAACTAGAAGACAAGCTTCCCACTTTTGATGTTGATGTTCAGGTAGAAGGACTGGACAAAAACTGTCTTCATGTGGAATGGTTCATAACAGATTTCACATTTGCATATTCAAAGATTATTAAATATCTTCTTCCTTCCCCATCTGGCTGTGAATATGGTATTTTAAACTGACCTTTGTGGCAAATTTCTGCTTCCCCAACAATGTTCTTCTTACTCCACCTACAGGCCAAAAGCAATTTTGCCATTTGTTTCTGTTCACTCCTGTACAACAATATTTGAAAACAAATGCAGGCATTAAATGCATTAAGTTACAATGAAATGCTGCCCACCTTGTTACTAATAAAAATGGACTGGAAACCGAGATGAAAGGAAGAAGACCCTAGGACCAGTTATAATTCTGCTGGGTTCCGTTCTCATTCCCTCCCACCAGCAGATGCAATGTTCTGAAGGTGGAATATGGAAATGCAGGTGTCTTCCCTTGAGGCAGGAGCAGCCCTCCTCCTAGAACGCTGCCCACAATTTTGCATGCCAACCCATCAGGAACCTGTTTTCACTGCCTCCCTGGGACTGCAATGACAGAAGGGTCATCAAACACCTGGCAGGCCATGCTTGATGGACCATGTTCAGATTGATGGTTCTCAACTTCTGCAAGCCTGCCCTCAAGGAAGAAATATGCATTTGACCTGCTTCGTATTGTGAATGTTTCAGTGACAGAGTGGGAAATATATTTTTCCTCTCCCTTGGGTTTTTTTTAAAAATAAGGTAATGTCAGATACCACATCATTCAACCTCTAGGTTGTAGAATTAGCAGGCCCTTAGCCATTGCCCTGCCAGTCTCTGAAGACTTAGACTGAAGCCATACATCTGGGCTGAGGGACCTGTGGCTGAAACCAACATCTGGAAGGCCACAGGTTTCCTGCTAAATCTGAAACCTTGGTGAAGAAGAAGAGTTTGGATTTGATATCTCGCTTTATCACTACCCTAAGGAGTCTCAAAGTGGCTAACAATCTCCTTTCCCTTCCTCCCCCACAACAAACACTCTGTGAGGTGATTGGGGCTGAGAGACTTCAGAGAAGTGTGACTAGCCCAAGGTCACCCAGCAGCTGCATGTGGAGGATCAGGGAATCGAACCCGGTTCACCAGATTACGAGTCCACTACTCTTAACCACTACACCACACTGGCTCTCTAGTGAGAAGTTCTGAGCCTCCTGATAGAAACTGGGAAGTCAAAGTCACAGGAATATAGGAAGCCACCTCCTGCTTTCTCAGTCTGGAGAGCTTGAGTTAAGTCAGTTACTGACACACCTCTTTGGCTGAGGGCTTTTCCTGAAATTGATTGCTGCCCAGATTCCTTCTTCATGCTTCATATCTTGCTTTACAGTTGCCATCTTTTTATTCTGGCTGGGCATTCTTGCCCAAAACCCAACATGCATCCCCATCATTGCATCCATGTGCAGAGGAAGACCTTCATCTGCTGCAGTTCTGCTAGTAAAGATCCAGTGACACTGCTGGAAAGGAAGAAGGGGACACTATATCTGCCATATATATGCCTTTGAGTCCATTAGTCCCTGCCTCATTCTCTGTGATTTAGTTTCACAAATTCAGCCAACCGGGTTGCTGCATTCCTTCAGTCAATCAAGTTCACTTTAGTCCTATTGATACATTGGAGACATGCAGCCTGATCCTCTGCTTTATATTGACTTAGAAGTACATCCCGTGGAATTCAATGGTGCTTACTCCCCAGTCAGTGCACATACAATTTCAGCCTAAGTGCCCTGGAGTGGGTGAGTATAAAATGGGGATGAGAAACTTGTGGCCCTCTAGATCAGCCTTTCTCAAGCTGTGGGTCCCCAGATGTTGTTGGGCTACAACTCCCATCATCCCTGAGCTCTGGCCTTGCTAGCTAGGGGTGATGGGAGTTGTAGTTCAACAACATCTGGGGACCCACAGGTTGAGAAAGGCTGCTCTAGATGTTGTTGGCCTCCAACTTCCACCAGCCCCAGTCAGCTGTAGTCCAGCAACATCTGGAAGCCAACAGGCTCCCCATAATTTAGGAGTATAAATTTATTCTGTGAATCGCCCTGATTTATTCTGTGAACCACCCTGAGACCTGTGGGTATAGAGCGGAATATAAATAAAATATATAACTCCGGTCTAAATATCTGGAGTCTGCTCTACAGGCATAAGTTTCCTGCATGATTTAGGAACATTATAAATTGCATAGGGAACCTATGCCTGTACAGAAGCTCCCCTCATCTGCTGCAATCTTTAGACCTCCTCTCCCAATGGAGCTATGTGGAAGTGGTGCTAATTGGTGTGAATTCTGTGAGCTGAAAATGCCAGAATAGGGTTCTATCAAATCTAGGGTTGAGAGAGAGAGCTTTTGAGACACTGAATGCCCACATCCCAGAAGTTCCATTTTGTCACTTAAATGCTATATGGCTTGATAGAAATGTTATTATTTAATTTTTTATTTCTTTCGAAAAAAGTTTGTTTTAGGATACCATGTGATCTATGTACGTGACCATCTAATTGCCACCAATTTGACAGAGTGGGCTTCAACTCCCCACAACCAAATGTGTGGATACTAATTGTAAAGGTTTAGGATTGTACCACTGTAGGTGGACATGTTGTCCCTTTAACATCTGGAATTTCAAGGTGGCTCCACCAATAGGAATAAGGGATGTAGATCATCCCTTCCTCACACCTGAAACTCACCCCACCCCATTTCCGTAAATCTTTACCCACATCATGATCTCACAGAAGCCTTGTGTTACTCTACCAACTCACAACAGATGCTGCTGGCTGGACAAGAAAGATGCACATCAAGGAGTCAAGGCCATTTGCAGCTGCCATCTCTTGTTTCTTCCTCTGACCTGCTATTGAAAACACTCCTGGCACCTGGATAAACATTGCTCCTGCTTATATTGCCAACAGTCACAGTTCTTATCACATCAGATTCTTCTTTGGTGGTGCACAGCTATTTAATATTTATCCAATGCTAGCAGTGTGCCGAGTGCCAATAGTCCTTTTTCTTCTTCTTCTCCAGATTCTTTTTACTGGGCAATGATATGCTAAAATCTGGCTTTTTATCCCTTGAAACTGCACAGTGTTAACAGGGACAATCAGATATTCCATTGATGGTGCTGATTGTCAAAAACCCGCAGTTCCAGATAGGAACAGCCCCATTATCCCGAATAGCTGCTTCTTATTCAGTAGGAACCAGGGTGGTGTTTCAACAGGAAGGAGCCCAAAGGCTGACACAGGCTAGCATCCGAGAGCAAATCATTATGTGCCGGGAAAGGGAATCAAGGATATGAATTTAAATTTAGAGATCGTGGTTTTACTAGTAATACATTTTCAAGGAAGTCTATTTCTCTCTGAGGCTAAATTATGCTTCTAAACGAGCAAACCTTTAGGCAGGGAAATCCTCTCAGTGAAGAACCCTGGCCACTGATATACAAACAGCAACGCTAAACATAAAGATTTATGTGCTATTGCTTACAGCATAAGCAAAGAGGCCAGTGGCATGCAAAACTGATTGAATCCCCTTAAGCGAAAGCAAAAGAGATGGGGTGGTAGTGGAATGCAATTAAGAGTGAAATGCATCAATACTGGAATGCAAAAGGTGGGTCTTAATAGAGTTGTCACTTGATTACAAAATATTGTACAGCTCAGTTGTGTGCATGTCTATCCAGAGGTTCGCTTGAGTTCAGTGGGCTTTATTCCTAGGAAAGCAAGCGTAAGATTGAAGTCTAAGGTCACCTCCAGATTATCAGTATTTTGCCAGAGCGTTTCAAACACATACCAGAAACGCAGGTTTGTGCAATTTAAGTTGATTAAAATGTTTTTTCACCCTGGTGCAACAAATCCACTTTTAAAATACCTTTTGTGTTTAGGAGAGTTATGTGAAAATGTACTGCTAAACAAATATTAACAGGAATACTTATTATTTACTTATTTTATTTATTTACTTATCTGGAGAGAAGCAACACGAGACCGGGCCTTTTTGGTGGGGGCTCCTCATTGGTGGAATGTTCTCTCCAGGGAGGCTCACTTGGCACCATCATTATATGTTTTTAGGCACCAGAATGCAGTGGGTCCCAAGTTCAATTCCTGGCATCTCCAGGTAGGACTGGAAGAGACTCCTGGTCTGAAGCCCTGAAGAACCACTGTCAGTCATTGTTGACAGTACTGAGCTAAAATGGAATGATGGTCAGATTCTGTATAAGGCAGTTTCCTATGTTCCTGTGCTAGGGTCTCAATCCATAGAAATTCTGGCTACTTAGAAAAATAAACAAAAACATTGCCCTTAAAATCAGAGCTACATGACATGAAATTTGGCCCTGAAATTTGGATTCTGATACAAAACCTCCTGCAGAAAACAACTGCACAAAGACCTGACCGAAGGCAACCAGTTAACGCTGAAATTTCACTTTCTGTCTGGGACTCATTGGCTATTAAACATGTGTAGCATCTATCTGTGTAGCCTAACACCATGCTTCTGCCTTTTTTTTGGTTTGATTTTTGGATTATTTTCATGTGTGTTTCTTCTCTTGGAGTATCTGAACACCATCATGGCAAACTTCTGTGTGATTCATTGGTGGCCCTGATTCATCACTTGCGAATTACTGTTTTAGAACAGCGTGTGTTAGCACAGACCTTGCCATGGCTGGAATACAAGGAGATGCCAAGTATTTAAGGGCACGCTCGTTTCCTTTCTCCAGCTCCTGTGCCTACCCATGTCTGTTTTCCAGATGGAAAAAGAAGAGAATACAAAGGACTGAGTTTTACAGCTGCAGATCTGCAGTACCTGTGTATTCCGGGTGCATCCATTGTTCAGCTAATGCAACAACTGACATTCTGATCATGCTACAAATAAACCCTGGTGGCAGATATTCTTTCAGTCCATTGGCGCTAATTTACCCCGAATGAAGCAGAAATACAGATGCTGGATTTAGGCCAGAAGGTTCATAATCCAGCTCTTACAGAACTCAAATAAAACAGATCATTTAAGGGATATTACCAACATGCTTGTGTTAATGGAGGAAATGGATAACAGTTCCTGTATCTTGTTATTGCTGTCTAGGCAACCAACACAATGGAGTAATACTGGTGCCTGAAATATTCATTTCTTTGCCTTGTATATCTGCACCTTCCACTAATAGTTCCATAATTTCTAGAATTCCAGTTACAATTAAACAATAAATATACCAGCCCCACCTGCCAATGATATGTGGCCCTTGGAAGGTTTCGTCTCAGAGGATGCAGTTCTTGGGCTGAAAAATGTCCCCCAGTCCTATTTTAGAAGGTCACGTATTAGAAGAATTAATTCATATGCCTTGCACCAAGGGAGCTTATTGTTATTTAGGTAATACATCATTGTACAGAGCAGCATCAGCAAAAGAAGATAGGCCTCTGCTGCAAGGAATTTACATCACACTGCTTCCAGAGACCAGTTTTTCATTGTGCTGCTTTGTTTTCTGTACATTCTCTTCAACAAGTGCCTTCATTGGCTTCTCTGTATCTTTTAATGGAGCTGTCCACTGTAATGAAAGATTTGATTTGGTTAGGATGTTCATGATTGAAATGATTGGGTTTTTATTATCTTCCTGACGTGATTGTCATCTAGAGATCCTCTAGGGGTCCTCCTAGGATTTTTCCAATAGTAGTCTACAAATTTGACGGAGCCAGGAACCCAGAATGCTTTCTGTCTTGTGGAATGTTTGAATGCTATATGAAACAAATGTCTTTTTTGACATTAACCAAGAAATCTAAGCTCCAGATGCAGGATACTAAAGGCCAGTGATTTATGTACGGCAGAGTTTCATGTTACACAACACTTCATAGGTAACCATGGCCAGCAGCCCTCTTTAACATCAAACCAGTTCACAAGTGTTTTGATGCCTGATTCTTGGCAAGCTATAGTATCCATCAGCTGGTTTGATGATCCACAGTTATATGAGAGGGATATGCACATTCCTTTTCAAAGATGATTCACAAAGGTAAAGGGATATTTATATTTAGTCTAGTAAGGAGAGCCAAAGGCTCTGCCATGTGTGATTTATCTGGCACCAAAGAAACTCACACTGTGATAATTCAGCTGTACGTAAAATACAGTCTGGAATCCCAATCCTAAATTCATTTCTTTGGAAGCAAGCACAGTTGATTCCAATGGACCTTACTTCCACACAAAAAAACTTTCATCCAAGTTGCACAATCCAAGTAGAAAAGTAGGAGTGTGCCTTGTATGGATCTATGCTCAACTTGCACATGTTGATATGATTGTGTGGTTGCTTCACAATCTACCCAGTGACCCAAAATTATTCCACAGTTAAATATGGATTGTAAAGGGGAATCACACACATAACTATTTACCAAGGGCTGAATCTTGCATGGATCCACTCTATCCAATTTTTGAGGTGCTAATGCAGTTGTGTGGATTGTCTTCAAGAACCTGAATTGTCTCAAAGAACTGATGCTTAATTTAACTGAAGATTTTCATTGGGATTAGAAGACACCAGGAGATACATATTTGTTTTCTAACAATGTAACGCCAGTTTCTTAGAAATGAGGTTTAATAATAAAAGATGGCTGTTGCACCATGCAGACACCATCATTTACTAATCATGCTAAGTTCTTCTCTTTTTGAAAAGAGATAGATGATTTTAATATTCGTATAAAGGATAATCCAAAGTAAACAGCAGAGATGTCTCTTTTCTGACACATCACCTCCATCCCATGTTTGATTTACTGGATTGTTCCTCTAAATCTGCCATCATGTACCTCTATTACTAAAAACTGCTTTCTCTGAAATTCATCTTTGCAGTTCCTGCTGGTGTGTTTGCACTGCATAGAACCTGCTGCTGCCTCCCCTCACTTTCCCTCCATCCCAGTATGCAGTGATGATGCAGGCAACTGGAGGTCAGGGCTTGTCCCCCCCACCCCACCACCTGAAACTGGGTGTGGAAGGCCACTAAAAAGGAGCCCCAGAGACAGGATTATAGTGATAAAAAAGCAACATTTTATTTATTTCAGGAAATTAGTTGGCATGCCATTCAAATGTAGAAAAGAAGAAAATATTCAAAAGTATATTGCTGCAAGTTTCTTCCTACTTGTCTCATGAGGTTATTGGGCTTGGAGGTCCTCGAGCTCTTGATTTTATTCTGTGAACTGCCCTGAGACGCCCGGGTATAGGGTGGTGGAATAATAATAATAATAATAATAATAATAATGCAGAAAAATTACCTTTGCTTCCCTGAAGATGGAACAATGCATACAATAACCCCCAGAAGTTTGATATCATTGTCTCTTAAAAATCCTTCTTAACTTGTTAATAATAGCTTTGTGTTTATAGAGTAGCTTTTTCTAAGAAGACAAAATGTTTGTCTTTCTAACCCTTCGTCTTTGTAACCCTTTCAACATTCCTTTTCAACAGCCACCTGTCTGTACCAGGACAACTTTCTCCCTAAAGTTCTGCTTTCATTACATCATTTTGAGATGGTAGTTCATGGCCAAGCTGAGATTTGACCCAAGGGCTTTCTGCTCCTAGTTCATTCTCTTTAGTTCATGCCTCGTATACCTTATTTTTTTTTTTAAATCATATTTATTAAAGTTTCCAAAAATATAAAAATACAAAGAAAAAAGACAAAAGAAAGAAGATATTTAACTTACTTATTCCCTACCAACACCCTCCCCAACACCTGTATTCCTTCTAATGGTCTTACAAGCTCACTCCCAATTTAAAGTTTTTATTGTTTAGTCTACTCATCCAGACTATTCAAATCTTACCACCAGCCCCACATCATTAACAGAAAAAGAAAAAGATTTTCCCAAGATCCACCCTAGTTCCTTCCATTAAATTCTTTTAGTACGTCCGATCGTGCAAATAACATGCTAAGTTATGTAAACAAATAGAATACAGATATAGAAAATCAAAAATAGTTACAGCCTTTGATTTCAAACTTCCCCCTTCCCCGGTTTGACTCATGTCCATCAGCTCAGCACATTATCAGCTTTGGTCACTCAAGGACCAGATTTCCTGATTCACCTTTATTTGCTTTTTGGCTTATTAATTTAAATAATATTTGACTCTTTTTAAATGTCCAATCTAACAAAGGCCTTTTAATTCCCTTTGATCTTTTTAATACCTCTCTCCCGTTGTTCTTCCGTGTCGTAATCAGTCCTTTTTATTCTTATTCCTCCCTTTCAGTGTTTCTTTGTCCTGTTCAGCTGCTAAAACTTTCTAATTCAGAAATCTAGTGTCTCTGCAGAGGTTTGTTATTCAGGAACAGAAACTTACGTCCAGTCCCTTTCTTTCTTCAATGCCTCGTATACCTTAGACCAGGTCTTTCACACAATCCCCCCCCCCCCCAGGAACATTCTTTTCGCAAAAGAAAATAAATTGCATGTCTGGCAACTGCTTATGCTGAAACTATTACAAATCTACAGATTTGAATCTATATCCTATTGGCTGATTTGAGAAGCATAACGAAGAACATTTCTTTGGTTCATTGTAAAATGGCTCTTTGGCTCAGGCTTCTGGGCACACTGTGGCTGGGTAAAAAGTTCATTCCCATAAACAGGAATTCCCCCTTGCCACTCCATTAGCTCATATGAGGCAAGTCCAAGGCCATTATGGCTGTGTAGCTAATTAGGTCAGATGCCTTCCTGGTGAGGTATCATGTTCACTCGCACTTCAGTGCTGGAAAGTTATGGTGATCCAGGCTAAGGAATAGTTGTCCTCTGTATCCAGGCTTCTTTCCAGAAAAGTGGTTTTGCTCTTTGTTTAGTGCCTCAGTTTTGGATCATCACACCTATGCACACCCGGGTGCTGCTTGCCAGTTTTTCAGTGCGGAGAGCAGCTCTAATGGTTAGTATGAGAGAGAGGCAAGCTAGTTTTCTAGTTTTATGTCCTGCAGTCAAATTCCCAAATGTATTCTTGCACTATGGCTATTTCTCTTATTTATTTATTTTTTAATGTGATGGGTTCCTGCAAGGTTATAAGCTACTAATCTTGTAATTATTAATACATCTACTTTTTATATTTCTGGTGTAGTTTCTTGTGGTTAGGCTTGGCTCTGAATCCAGTACCTATCCACTAGTCCAGGGGCCAGCAAACTATTTCAGCAGGGGGCCGGTCCACTGTCCTTCAGACCTGGGGGGGGGGGGCAGACTATATTTTGGAGAGAGAAAAATGAACAAATTCCTATGCCCCACAAATAACCCAGAGATGCATTTTAAATAAAAGGACACATTCTACTCATGTAAAAACATTCTGATTCCTGGACTATCTGTGGGCCAAATTTAGAAGGCAATTGGGCCAGATTCAGCCCCCAGGCCTTAGTTTGCCTACCCATGCACTAGTCAAACTGCTACAGAGTAATTTGGGCTTGGGGCTCAAGAGGCAGAGAATCTGGATGTTTAGCTCTTGCTCTCCTGAATGTCTGGCATACAGCTTGAGGTTTTTCTGGCTCCTGCTGGATATAGACTAACAGGAGTGGTGGCAGCTGTAGGATTAATTTCAGCCTGGTCATTTGGCACCTTTTACACCCAAAGGAAGCTAGTGCTGAGGTCTTGGGCACCAATTATCCTTTGCAGTAAGGATCACAGCCCAATATACAATTATGTGCGATTTAGCTTCCTGATTTAAAATGCTGACCTGAATGTTCATACATTTGGTATTCAGGTCAAGAGTAGTGTGTCTCTGGAGGGAGAAATATTTCCAGAGAAACCTCTTAAATGGGTGAATGTTCACTCTTTTCTCTTATTGTATCTATCTATATATTTTTTAATAAACCATCCTCTGATAAGACTTATGACAAACAATCCCCATATACCTCTAGCCCCCGAGAAACATTCCATGCACAGTAGCGGAGAGAGGGGGTGGGGGGCCACGGGCGGCA